CGAACACTACGCCAAGCCGACCTCAATGCTGGTGTGAGATGAGCCCTGGCCACACCACCGGGAACTCCGTGCCCTACTCTTAGTCGAATAGTGGTGTGGGTTCTTTAACGTCCCTCTGCTGCTAATGAGAAGTTTAGAGAGATGGAACCTCTGGCTTTACTTCCTTTCCGAGAAGGCAAGGAACTGAGAGAATTAAGTGTCTTGCCCAAGAACGCAATGGGATCGCCCATCTGGGAATCAAACTCAGGCCAATCAACCAGTCGAAGTTTAATGGCTAAACCACTGGACCATCATCTCTCTAATTTATTTTCTTTACAGTATGCTTAGCATCTTGTCTTTGTTGAAATTTGACAGGTATTAGGGGGGATAGTWGGAAGACTGTTCTGTAATAGAGCCTTATGGCAAAATGATCCTCAAAGAGTCACCAAGTTTATGCTGCTTACTGGAAGGACCAAGTTCAGAGAAAGAGAAGCCGAGGGTTATGTGAGTTTTCATATTTTATTTCTTTTATTAATCTCATTTAAATCAACCAACCAACCATCCATCCATCCAAATTTCTTGTTTGTATGGTTGACTTACTGATGTACATATAATTTATGTTCACAGACAAATGGCCAAAAAGGTGCCATAGAGGGGGATTTTGCCATGGCCATCAGCCTCTACCATGCTTATGAACTACTTCACCAACACGGCATACTTTCGTTTTATAACTTCATTAAGGTACTTGAAGAAGCTCTCTGCAATATGATTTATCAATATTGTAGCACTTGGTTTTTAGATACAGTGTACTTCACCTATACACAAGCTCGATAGCAGTATGAGTATCAGTTTGAAAAGCAATAGGAACATAAGTTGGATTAGAAGTAGATCCAGTACATGTAGCAGATGGTTTAGTCCAATCGTATCAGCAAAAGTACATGTAGTAGTAATATTAATAACAGCATTAGAAATAGCAGTACATTTAACAGTATTATCATTGTTTCAATAAGTTCGTGTAGGTATAGTTCAGTTACAGGTACATGGAGAAAGTAAGGTATAGGTAGCTATTTCATTAGGTATGGGTATGCATTGGTAGGYATAAGTAGGAATAGGTAGACATTAAGTAGATTTTATTATGTTTCGGTAGGTAACAGGTACATGGGTTTTCCCTTCTGAAAAAGAACGCTTGCTACATGTCTATAATTGCTTGGTTTTTAGAAATAACAATCATTTTATCCTTTAAAGGCAATCGTCGATGGAAGTAAAGGCATGTCACGAGCTCGAAGTGAACTCATGCGMCACACAGACTTTATGAATGTCATGAACGAACTGCGTGAACTCATCGAAAAACCACCTGATGAAATGTCAGCCGAAACAAGTGCCTTATTCTCTCAATTCACGTCTCCTCGACGACGGTCCATGATGAGAGAAGCCTTTGACCCTTCCTTCAAGAGTCACCC